CTGTTCTAATCTACCTCTCAGGGCAGGCTCACAAGGACATGCTTTGAAGTATAAAACATTGTACAAAATGTAAAGCACTATCCTTATTTGGGAATTTTTATATCTTTGCACTAGGGTAGCACAGTGGAGTGTGGAGTTATGAAAACCTGATTTCAGTCCAGCCTCAGATACTTAATAGCAGTGTCATCCTGGGCAAGTCACCTAACCTGTTTACCTTACCTCAGTTTCCTCATCTATAAAATGAGCCATAATGGTAGCACCTGCCTCCCAGAGTTGTGAGGGTCCAATGCATTAATATGTTCTGAAGTTTCTATTTGTCCTCTGTCCACATAATGAATATGAAAACCACTGTCAGGGAAGCTTTTTTTTTTTGGTTTGACTGCCAAACTTATTTCTAATTTTTATCTTCCTTTTCCTTCTGCCTTGAATTCCTTTGTAGTTCAGTCGTTTTTAGTAGTGTCCAACTCTTCGTGACCCCATTTGGGGTTTTTTTGGCAAAGATACTGGCGTGGTTTGCCATTTCATTCTCTTTTATGGATGAGGAAACTGAGGCAAACAGGATTAAGTGACTTGCCCAGGGTGACACAGCTAGTTAAAAGTCTGAGGCCAGATTCTAATTTCTACTTCCCATTTAGCCCAATGTTATCCATCTTTCATGCCTTAACTCAAGTCTTTCCTCCATGAAGCTTTCCCTGAATAACCTGACTCATTCTGTTTTCTTTCTTTTAACTCCTCCAATCACTCATTTGGCACAGAATCACACGCTGTCTTACACTGTCATTTATTTCATGTATGTAGTCACTGCCTTTCCAGGGTGATTTAAATTCCACCAGGACATGGACCAGGTCCTATTTGTTGTTGTTGTTTTTTAATAATATTTTTGTTTCTTCACCTAATTACATGTTAAAACTATTTTTTACATTTTTTTAAATTTTGAGTTCCAAATTCTATCCCTCCCTCCCTCCCTTCCCCTTCCTTGAGACAGTAATCTGATATAGGTTGTACATGTGCATAAAACATTTCCATATTAGCCATTTTGTACAAAAAGATTCAAAGAAGGAAAGAGTATGCTTCAGTCAGTATTCAGACAACATCAGTTCTTTCTCTGGAGTTGGATAGCATGTTTCATCATGAGTCCCTTGAGATTGTCTTGGATTGTTGTACTGCTGAGAACAGCCAAATAATTCACAGTTCTTCATAGTACAACATTGCTATTACTATGTACAATGTTCTCCTGGTTCTGCTCACTTCATTTTGCATCAGTTCATATATGTTTTTCCAGATTTTTAAAAAGTCATCAGGCTTGTAATGTCTTATAGAAAAAAATAATATTCCAACACAATCATATACCATAGATTGTTCTGCCATTCCCCAATTGATAGGCATCCTCTTGATTTCCAATTCTTAGCCACCACAAAAAAAGTGGTATAAATATTTTTGTACAAATAGCTCCCCCCCCACTCTTTTTTTTAATCTCTGGGACACAGACCTAGCTGTGGTATTGCTGGATCAAAAGGTAGGTACAGTTTTATAGCCCTTCATGCATAGTTCCAAATTGCTCTCCAGAATGGTTGGATCAGTTCACAACTCCACCTACTGTCCCAGTTTTTCCACATTCCCTCCCAATATTTATCATTTTCTTTTGTTGTCATATTAAAATGGTACCTCAGAGTTGTTTTAATTTGTATTTCTCTAATCAACAGTGATTTAGAACATTTTTATATGACTATAGTTTTGATTGAAAACTGCCTGTTCATATTCTTTGACCATTTATCAACTAGGGAATGACTTCTATCCTTATAAATTTGACTCAGTTCTCTATATATTTGAGAAATGAGGCCTTTATCAGCCAAGTCCTATTTGTTAAAGGAGCATCCCGATTTTAATCAGAGACCTGTCAAGATGTTCCTTATTTCCCCTGCCATCACCCTACTTTGAGCCCTTATTTAACCTCACCCTTAGAATTCTGTAATTACCTAATAAAGCTTCCTGCCTCCAGTCTTTTCATCACCAATCCTATCCACAGATATCAGATTTCTATTTTTTTTATTAATTTATTTTGAATTATCAATAATCACTTCCATAAGCTTTTGAGTTTTAAATTTTTCTCCCCCTCCCTTCACACCTCATTCCCCAAGATGGCGCGCAATCTGATATAGGCTATACATATACATTCCTGTTAAACATATTTTCACATTAGTGATGTTGTAAGTAAGAATTAGAACCAATAGCTGAAACCACCAGAAAGAGGAAACAAAACACGACAGAAGAAAAAAAAATTGCAAATTTTATGTTTTGATCAGCATTCAAACTCCATAGTTCTTTGTTTGGATGTGGATAGCATTTTCCATCATGAGACTTTTAGAGATGTCTTAGATCCTTGCATTGCTGAGAAGAGCTGAGTCTATCAAAGTTAGTTATCTCACAGCTTGGCTGTTATTGTGTATAATGTTCTCCTGGTTCTGCTCATTTCACTCAGCATCAGAGCATACAAGTCTTTCCAGGTTTTTCTGCAGTTCACTTCCTCATCATTTCTTATAGCACAATAGTATTCCATTACATTCATATACCACAACTTTTGGCCATTCCCCAATTGATGGGCATTCTCTCAATTTCCACCACAAAAAGAGATGTTATAAATATTTCTGTACATGTGGGTCCTTTTCCCATTTGTATGATCTCTTTGGGATACAGCCCTAGAAGTGATATTGCTGGGTCAAAGGGTATGTACATTTTTATAGCCCTTTAGGCATAGTTCTAAATTACTCTCCAAAATGGTTGGATCATTTCACAACTCCACCAACAATGCATTAGTCAGACTTACATTAAGATAGTACTTTGATTCTGTTAAGGTTAACTTTCAGTGATTTTCACTGCTTATGTGATCAGATCAAACTTACTACATTCAAGACCCTCGTTTCCAGCCTTCATTCTCAGTGACTACAGAAACTGTTCAAACTGAAATATCGTCCTGTGCTCTCCAATCCCTGCAAATCTGCCTTCTCATACCTTTTTGCTTTTTGCTCATACCTAGTCCCTGGAATGACCTCCTCCTTTGCTTATTTAAATCCTCATCCCTTTTTTAAGATTTAGCCTGACTGCTTCCCTGACCACCTAGAACTATTCTTGGAATTTCTTTATACCAGTACCATTCATTTGGCAATTAGGACTTCTCTTGAACTGTTGATTAACTTGCATTATTAAGATTTTTTTTTTTTCTAGCTAGACTGGAAACTCCTTAAGTGGAGGTAGCCTTGTCTTTTACCTCATATATTAAATACTCAATAAATAACATCCTAAATAATAGATCTGTAGTCTACAACTCAATCTCTGTTACACAAAACACTTTTTGCCCTGATTCCATTACCTTACCTCACCAGCTTTTTTGATGATCAATTTGTCCTCTGGGCTACAGGCACACTGAGCTCAGTCTCTCCTGCATCTAAGACCTCAGACATTACTTCTTACTTCCTTTCTAGGATTCCTTAGGAATCTGAGCCAGGCCTACTGGAATACATATTCTGAGATTTAAAAAGTAGTGCACTTCAAGGCAGTGACCCTGTTTTCTGCAAACATTAAAATAGAGTCTCAGTAGAAAAATAAATAAAAATAAAACATAGCCCAGTCTTCCTTAATTGTAGTGTCTTCTGAGACTACTCCCAGTTAATTCTTTTTAGTACATAATTTTTTGCATGTTGTTGATCCCATTAACCTGTGTGCTCCTTGAGTGCAGAGACTGGTCTTTGTATGCTGGGATACAATAAATAAATGAATGAATGATAAGTAAACAAACATACACACAGGTATATAAAAATATACTAGCATATATTTTGTGTATATATGTATACATATACACATGTTAGCATTTGTGTATATATGTATATACATAAATATACATATATACATATACATGTATACATATATACATGCATGCATTTGTGTATACACAACTTTTACTGTATATGTATATACATACCTTATATATACATGCAAACACATGAGCATTTATTATATGTATATGTATACTGTAAAACTTATGTATATACACATATACATACTAGCATTTATTGTATGTGTATAGATACGTTATATATAATGTATATGTGAAATACACAATATGTGCATTATATACATATATACACATACAATAAATGTTGGTATGTATATGGCTATATACACATATATGTATACACACTAAAGGCTAGTTGACTGACTACCTGACCTGGATTAGAATCGCAGGGCTGTGGGCAGCGGGCCAACTCCCCGCCCCCTCCTCATTCTCCAGGCCCACTCTCCAGAACCCTTTGAATCTCCGCAGGGAAGATTTTCTTCGCCCGTCGGTCCTCTCCTTACCAGGGCTCCCTCTCATTGCTTCCCAGCCCCCCATCTTTCCGTTCTCACTTCGGCGGGGGATGAGCGCCGGTCTCCTTGGGGGCTGCTGCCCCGGGGTCCTTCTGGCTCCGGCCGGCGGTTCCGGGTTTTAAACGGGCCTTGGGGTAAAGGCTCTCCGGGCACGCGACCTCCAGAGCCTCTTGGCCGGCGCAGCCTCTCCAGGCTCCCCGCAGAGCAGGGAGGCGGCACGGCGGCTGTTCGCTCTTACCGCCAGCAGAGGGCGCTGTGGGGCCCGGGCCTGCCGGGAGGCCCGAGGAGCGTCTTGGAAGCAGCCAGTTCCCAGAGTGCACTCGGGGTCCACAAAGCAACAGCTGGGCAGCTGCGGAGGAGCCGGGCCCTCGGGAGTCGGAGCTAGGCTAGATTTAGGGCCGGGCCGCAGCGGCTGCGGAGGCGGAGGCAGCGCAGCTCGGGCCGGCCCTCAGGAGCTCACAGCAGCCCTCGGGTCCCTGGCTCCGCGCTCTCCCTTGGCTGACTGCCCTAACACAGGTCCTGGAGCCCGGGCCGAGCCTGTCGCAGGGAGCCCCCGCGGGTGCCGGGAGCGGAGCGAGAGGAGGAAGGAGGAGGAGGAGGGGAGGGGAAGAGCCGGACGCGCCGGAGCCTTCCCGCCAGCGCAGCAGCCTCCCCGGGGCCTGGGAGCGAGACCGAGGGCCATGGCCGAGGCGGCGCCTGCTCCGGTGAGACGAGCCCCCGCGCGGGCCCAACGGGGAGCGAGGCGGGCGGCCCCGAGGGGAGAGGTGGGGGACATTCCTCCTGTGCAAAGTTAGGCCCCAGCTACTGACAGCAGCTCCCCGACCCCAGCCCTCCCCGGCCTGACTGAGGGGACCCCTGAGGAGGGAGCAGCCCAGTCCTGAGGGGTTTGTCAGCCGTAGGAGAGGGAGGACCCGAAAGAAAGCATGCGCCCCTTGGCATTTATGCGCCTGGGCTAGGGGGCCGGCTTCGTTTGGCCCGGCTTAGCAGGATGTTTGTCTGTCACCCGCCCACGGTCCGTACGGAGCCTCCAGGTGCTACTTGGAAATATTCATTGTGCGGGGATGTAGAGAGGGAAGGGGACAGAGGGAGAAAAATAGAGGAAAGAGAAAAGGAGAGAGACAGGAGGAGGAGGGAGACAGGAGGAGGAGGGAGACAGGAGGAGGGAGGGAGGGAGAGAGAGAAGGAGGGAGACAGGAGGAGGAGGGAGAGGAGAGAAGAGGAGGGAGGGAGACAGGAGGAGGAGGGAGAGGAGAGAGGAGGGAGGGAGAGAGAAGGAGAGAGACAGGAGGAGGGAAGGAGAGAGAGGGAGGGAGAGAGAGAGAGAAGGAGGAGGAAGGGAGGGAGGGAGGGAAGAAAGGA